ATTATCATTTTACAAAATAGTCCAAAACATGAAAATATGATATACTTGAATTTTGATGTTTTGACATAAACCAACTTTTGAAACTTTGTGAAATGTTTTTATGGACTTAGTAAAACATGTATAAACTGATATTGAAGTCTATAAACTAATAAGACAATATTTTCATAAAATTGCATATTCTATGCAATGTTTTCAAAAAACACAGTAGAAAATATGAAATATATAATTTCATATATATAATCATAAAAACTCAAAACACATGTATGTATATATATAACTATATATATGTGCATAGAAACCAAAACTTATGTATATATATATAACTATATATATATATGAAGAAACCAATAAAATGTGTGTGTATATTATATTGAGCTTAACGTATTAAACACAAATAATATAAACCCTAAACTAAATTACCCAAGCTAGATCTTGATCTTCAATAAGCTCTTCTAGGTAATCTCTCGGATGAAGCTTTAACTTGGATCTTGAACTTTGAATAGCAAGGCTTCACCGACATTCCGCCAACCTCCATTGGATTTCATCGTTGAAGGTCTATTCCATCCATCCTCCAACACGTTGTTTGTCTACAATGAATAGATAATACAAGCACTAGACAAACAACATTAGTTATAAATTGTTTGTTAAACATCATCAAAACAAGAAGGCCAACACATTTATGTCATTCAAACTACCAGGAAGCCCTGAAAAAGCATGCCATATCCACAAATCATATGACGCAACTGCCTCGAGGATAACTATTGCTGTCCCCTTGTGTCCACTAGTAAACTGCCCTTGCCAAGCCTTAGGACAATTTTTCCACTACCAGTGCATGCAATCAATACTTCCAATCATCCCTGGGAATCCATGTTCCTATCCAACTTGGAGCAACCTCTGCAAGTCTTCCACATTTGGTCGTCGTAAGTATTCATCTTGAAACAATGCTATTACCCCTTCGCAAAACTTGCGAGTACACTCGATAGCAGTGGATTCTCCTATCTTGACGTACTCATCACAAGCATCGGCTGCGACTCCATATGCGAGCATGCGTATAGCAGCCGTACACTTCTGTATAGGCGTTAACCCAAGCTTGCCCGCATTATTGCGCCGTTGTGTGAAGTAATCGTCGTAATTTGATATAGAGTCCACAATTCGTGGAAAGAGAGGCCTTTTCATTCGATACCTGCGTCGGAACTGAGCGTCAGTGTAAGTGCATGACTCGGTAAAGTAGTCGGCCATGAGTCTCTCATGCGCTGCATGATGATCTCTATGTATGGATTTCCTCTTACGTGGTTGTTCGCTTCTCCTTTGCAATTCTTTAAGAAGTTCTCGCTGCCTATCAAGTATTTTTTCTTCTATTTCCCATTGTTGTTGGAACTCTTCTAGACTAAACTCATTTAGGAAAGGATCCATTGGATGCTATGATTTTTGAAGTGTTGATAGGTATACTTATGATGTGCATCTGATCAGTTTATATAATGAAGGGTAGTTGTTCAAATAATTGAATTCACATGCAATTGCAAAGACATGTGTCATAGGGCATGCATTTGCAGAGAGTTGTCAATTCATATTTTGTATTATTATGCAGGTGTAGTCATTTCATCCTTTGTATTTTTTGCAGTGAAAGGTCAATTCAACATTTGTTTGTTTTTGCAGTGAGTAGTAATTGTATCTTTTGTACTATTATGCAGTGAGAAGTCAATATCAATTGGCTTTATTCATAGCTGAAGCAGTACTTGATCTTTTCTCTTCAAATTTTTCATGAGCACTGACTAGCTTAGATAACTCCTCCTCAATTGCCCCCTTTGATTTCCTTGACACAGATGTTTTACTAGAGGAACCTCTAGCTTTCTTCTTTGCCACGTCTCTACCCTCTGGACGTACAAGGGTAGGAGTTGATGATTCAACATCCTCACCACTACTCTTTCTTTTAGAGCCACTACTACCGGATGCATTTCCTCCTGTCATATATTTGGGTTGATTACGAACCACCTTCCACTCATCCACCAAATTAAACGTCGTACCTATTTTCTCAAAGTACAACTCTCTTGCCTTGGATATGTAGTTTTCATCGGACCAACCGCTACGCTTCTCCCTACATGCAGTACTGTAGCAGCCAATGAAACTGGATATCTTTCTGTTGATGTCTTTGAAATGACTATGGCACCGAGACACAATCCTCTCCTTTCCACTTTTGGCGTTCTCATTCACGTACTGTGTAATTTTACCCCAGAAAGTTTTACCCTTTTGGTTGTTCCCCAACTCACTATCATTACTAACGTGAAAATAACCAGTTAGTAAAAGTATGTTGTCTTCGGTGGTCCAAGTTTCATAACTTGATCTCTTTGCTGATTGTTGGGTTGGAGGGACAAAACTGTGAGGAGTATCCCCACCAACATTTCCCAAAGACATTTGGGTGGAAAATTCTGAGATATCTGTAGATCCGCTACTAAACCGGGGTGTCGCTGGCTCACTCGACTCCGTGTTAGGACAATTCATATGGGAGGGAACATAGCTGCTTCTCGGAACTGGAGGATAACCGTAAGGAAGATGAGGATATTGCATGCCGAAATTTGGTTGCATCATGTACGACATTTGAAAATTGAGCTGCATCCCCGTATTTTGAGTATTTTCGGGGCGTTGTATATTTGGATGTTGTGGTTGAGGGAGGGTATTTTGAGGTTGGTTAGGAAAGTTGTAGTTGTAGGAAAAATTAGGATAGTTTTGTGAAGGATCCATGAAGAAACTAGCTTCAAATTGTAGAAAGAAGAAGAATAGGGTGTAGAAACTCAGATTTTTTTGGGTGTCCAAATGACACAAAGTTAGTCTCTATTTATAGAGTTTGAAAAATAAAAATTAATGGTATAAAAATTATAAATTAATTCATTGTATTTATCTCAAAAAATATCAATTAAAAATAAGGAGGAAAACAAAAATGCTCGCCCAATCAAATTTCGCCACGTGGCAGCTGGCCATCATGCGCCAGACCTGTCCGCGCGTGGGCTTGTCAGAAATGCCCGGGGTGAATTTTTCACCCCTTGGCCTTGTCAATTTGATTCACCTGCACAAAAAACCCCTGCTGCAACCAAATATCCCTCGGAAAAACCCCTGCTGCATATGGTCTAAGGCCAATTATTATAGTATCTAATACCCAATAACTCAATAAGTTTCTCAAATTGTGAACGAGCAATTGCCTTTGTGAATGGATCTGCTATATTATCTTTTGTATCTACTCTTTCAATCTTGATCTCCCGGCTATCAACTATCTCCCTGATCAAGTGATACTTCCTCAGAATGTGTCTGGACTTATGGTGAGATCGGGGTTCCTTTGTCAGAGCTATTGTAGCATTATTATCACAGTATAAAGGTACTGGATCTTTAATGGTGGGAACAACTTCCAGCTCTAAAAGGAACTTCCTCATCCAGACAGCTTCTTTAGCTGCAATGTATTCAGCTTCCATAGTCGAGTCTGCTACTGTATCCTGCTTGGAACTTTTTCCAGCTGACAGCCCCTCTATTGAGGGTAAAAACATATCCTGATATAGACTTACTATCATCGATATCGCTCTGAAAGCTTGAGTCGGAAAAAGCCTCCATTCGGAGGTCATTTTTACCGTATATCAAAAATAACTCCTTAGTCCTTTTAAGGTACTTAAGTATATTCTTGACCGCTTTCCAGTGCTCTTCTCCATGATCAGATTGGTATCTACTTACCAAACTGAGTGAATAAGCAATATCTGGTCTAGTACATAACATGGCATACATGATCGATCCTACTGCCGAGGCATAAGGAATTAGACTCATGCGTTTCCTCTCTTCATCAGTCCGGGGAGACATCTTTTTAGAGAGGGAGATTCCAGGAGATGCAGGTACAAAACCTTTCTTGGAATTTTCCATGCTAAACCGTTTTAGCACTTTGCCAATGTATCTAGATTGCGATAATCCTAACATCCTTTTAGATCTATCTCTATAGATCTGAATACCCAGTATACAGGATGCTTCACCTAAATCTTTCATGGAAAATCTTTTTGATAGCCAAATTTTAACCGCTTGTAATGACGGTATGTCATTACCAATTAAGAGTATATCGTCTACATATAAAATAAGAAACGATATAATACTCCACTTTATCCTTTTATACACACATGGTTCATCTGGATTTTTGATGAAACCAAACTCTTTGATAGCATCATCAAAACAGATGTTCCATCTCCGCGATGCTTGCTTCAGTCCATAAATAGATTTAAGCAATCTACATGCTTTTCCACTGCTCCCACTGACTACAAAACCCTCTGGTTGCGTCATATATATGCACTCTTCTAAATCACCATTTAGAAATGCAGTTTTAACGTCCATTTGCCAGATCTCATAGTCATAGTGAGCAGCTATAGCAAGTAGGATCCGAATAGACTTGAGCATAGCCACTGGAGAAAAAGTTTCATCGTAGTCCAAACCAGGTCTTTGACGAAAACCTTTAGCTACCAGTCTAGCTTTAAAAGTCTCTACTTTTCCATCTACACCCAACTTTTTCTTAAACAACCATTTGCAACCTATGGGTATCACCCCTTTAGGAGCATTGTCTAATATCCATACTTTGTTGGTGTACATAGAGTCTATTTCAGATTTCATTGCATCATGCCAAGCAACAGAGTCCCTACTCTCAGAGGCTTGCTGATAACTTAAAGGTTCGTCATCATCTATGACGTGATCTAACATGCCACCCTCAACTAAAAAATTATATTGTGTCTTAGGTGCATGAGATCGCCTTGGATATCTGTGGAGTGGTTGAGGTTCTTCTGGTATAACTGAATTTGCTGGTTCTACTAATTTATCAATAATATTTTGTATCTCTGAAATTTCTTCCAGTTCTACCATGCTCTCACTAATTTCTTTTTCAAGAAATTCTTTCTCTAAGAAGGTGGCATGCTGAGAAACAATTATCTTTTGTTCATCGATGTGGTAGAATTGATATCCAATGGAATTCCTTGGATATCCTACAAATTTGCATAATACTGAGCGTGCCTCTAACTTTTTGGGATCTTGCTTCTTTACATAAGCATGACATCCCCAAATCTTAATATAATTAAGTTGTGGTTTCTTCCCACTCCATATCTCATCAGTAAGTGTGTTGCTGTTTCTAATGCATACCCCCAGAATAAAAAAGGTAACTCAGTGTTACTCATCATGGAACATACCATATCTAATAGGGTACGATTCCTTCTTTCTGACACGCCGTTAAGCTGTGGTGTAAAGGGTGGAGTAACCTGAGAGAGAATCCCATTCTCTTTTTAAATACCTAAGAATTCCGAGCTCAAGTATTCACCTCCTCGATCCGATCAAAGAATTTTAACTTTCTTACCCGTTTGGTTCTCTACTTTATTTTTGTACTCGATAAATTTCTCAAGTGCTTCAGATTTGTGTTTCATCAAAAACACATGTCCAAACCTTGAAAAATCATCAGTAAAAGTAATAAAGTAGGAGTAGCCACCTCTGGCCATTGTAGACATAGGACCACATACATCACTATGTATCAGTCCTAAGAGTTCTGTAACTCTTACTCCAGTTCCTGTAAATGGAGTCTTGGTCATTTTACCTTTAAGACAAGACTTGCAAGTCTCATAAGACTCAAAGTCAAATGGATCTAAATATCCATGCTTATGAAGCTCGCCAAGTCTTTCTTTATTAATGTGACCAAGTCTGCAATGCCATAAGAAAGCGTCATTCATAACTGAGTGCTTTCTTTTATTAGTGTGATAAGTGTTCAGAATTGTATTTTGATTAAGAATATAGATGCCATTGCACAATGTTCCATAAGCAATCAACTTTTGATTAAATATGATATTCATAACATTGTTCTCCAACTTAAATACATATCCATCTTTATCTAATAAAGATATGGATATTATATTACACATCATAGTTGGTACAAAATAGCAGCTATTTAAAATCAAAACGTTTCCATTTGGTAAAGCTAGATGAAAATCCCCTACTGCAAGTGCTGCAACTATTGCACCATTACCAACTTGCATAGTCATCTCTCCAGCTCCAAGTTTTCTATAACTTTTAAGTCCCTGTAACAAATTACAGATGTGAGATCCTGATCCGGTATCTAATACCCAGGATGTATGATTTATAGAAAAACAATTCTGAGTAACAAACACACCTGTAGATGAAGCAACAACTTGCTTATTCTTGGTGAGTGAGGCTAGGTATTCTGGGCAGTTCCTTTTCCAATGTCCTGACTTATGACAATGGAAGCATTCTGCTGTCATCATTTTTGCCTTTCCTTTATCCTTCTTGACAGCCTTCTTAACACCTTTCCTTGGTTTAGTAGTTTTCTTCATTCCTTTTTTCTTAGCAACCAATTTGCCAAAAGAGGAAGAAGATTGCCCTATAGCCAAGACTGGTGTTTG